TATAAACAAAACTTATTGCATATCTAAGACTACTCTAACGAAGAAAAAAAGACGTACACGACGAAAATGATGTAAATTTTGTTCGGTGATATGTGGTAGCTGCAATAATGGACTATTTTTTGGCCACTGCGCCTGTACAATCATCGGTAAAAGTTTGGCCAAATTTTCGATTGTATCCAACGATGGGCAACGTGATGGATTGCCGTAAAAACATAAGTGCTGCGAAATCGATAACATCTCATTGATTAGCATCACACATTTCGAAATCACATAACTACTATCTGAAATTTATCCAGGATCTGACAACTGTGGCCTCCCGGCACCATCTCGAATGGAAAATTCAAAAATTTCATTAAAAATGAATAGGAAGTTTAAAAATCTCAATTTAAAAATCAAAAATTTTGCTTTTTTTTAAAAAAAAATTAGATGAAAACACGAACCATTACGTAAATTAGGTGAAGTAAGTGGAAAACGTGATAAATGCGCATGAATGAAGAAGCGTGCCTTCAGCGAATATGGCAAACACAGTGGTCGTTCTTTCTTATTTTCACTCAGATTTTTAAATTGCTTTATTAGCGGTGGTAATTCAATATCGTCACTTTCACGCTCCACAATCTCCTTATTGTACTGCTTCCAGAATTCAAACGAACCACCAAGTACCATTAAAATGCCTTTAAAAAAAATTCAACAAAAAATAAAAAATTTGAAATATGAAAAATTTTTAAAAATTAAATATAAAAATCATAAAATATATTTGTTCGCAAAAAAAGGGTAATGAGCCTAACTGTTGGGTCTGCCGATTCAGATCTTTCCGAGCACAGTAAGCTAATCGTACGACAGGACATTTCAAAAAGCGTTCGTTAGTTTGGCCCCGTTCGTACTCCGGTTAATAAACCCAAATCGGTGTATCTTTGCGTCGACAGCTATGTCCCTGAGCGGATCCAGAACGGTCTCCTGTGAAGGGTGGGGGGAGGGGGCGGGACAGGAGGGCTCCTAGTTGGGGGAGGGGTGATGGGGAGCGGGGAGGAGAGTCCCCTCTTGGAACTATGCAAAAACTAAAACACAGTTGTAACACTGCTACTTAGAATTACTTTAGTTCAGAGTTACTTTAGACTTTAGTTTTAGCTTTAGGCCCGGACTTTTGTAGCACTGGTGCTTGTGTCGGTGGAGGGGTTAAGGCGAAAGATCCATCGCCTCACCGCCTCGCCTGTTGATGTGCCGGCTGGATTGTGATGCAGGCTATAATTCTTGCTACTTATAGCCCCTGCCTTAGAAATCTTCGCAATAAAACGACAGACAACGCTAGATTACATTGAAAAATTTCAAGCAACGCAACCAACTGATATCAACCAAAATCAAGAGCCTTTCTGGGTATTTGCACCTTACAAAGCA